GGTCAGCTCCTACCAGGTGCTGGAGGCCGGCGAGAAGGACACGCGGGGGCTGGTCTGCTTCGGGGAGAAGCTGTCCCAGTGCCACCAGCTCCAGGAGCGGCGAGCCCACTGCAAGCGGGTGTTCCTCACGTGTGAGTTGGCCACAGCCCGGCGGGCGGAGGGCAGGCCTGGGTTCCCCCCTAGGGCCCAGTCAGGAGCACGTTTCCGAAGAACAGGCCCCCCAAAAAGGAGATGGCAAATGGGGGCAGAGGGGGCAGGCGTGCTCAGACGCAATGAGCCATGAAGAGGGACCAGCCTGTGTTATTAGGCAGCCGATGAATGCCAGCTCCATCCTGTCGTCTACTCTCCCAGGAGGGAAGACAGTCAAGCAAGGGACAGAGGGGAACGCATTTGCTGCATGAACAGTAACCGGGTAACACGTTAAAGAGAGAAGCGGCTGTTGGTGTATGACCATGTACTGGGCCATGTATGATGGCGATACTCGTCACTGGCGAATGGTAGAAAGCGAAATAGTTGATTGCAAAGCGGCCAGTGGCAGCAGGGTGGTCAGCTGTTAGGAGATAGAAGGTCGACGGGCGAATGTGTAGCCAGAATCCCCGAGACACTGGAGAGGCGGCCAGATAGACCCCTGCCGTCCGCACGAGCCGGCGACTCCCTGGGAGAAGCCAGTCCGCAGCTGCCCTCCGAGGGGACAGGTTGATAGCGAGGGGCGGGCTGTCCTGACTCCTCTGCCCCCCCCTCCCAGGCCAGGACCCCAACCCGGCGGGCCTGGGCACCGGCACCGTGATGAGCATCATCCTGGCCCTGGTGCTGCTGGCTGTGCTGCTGGTCATGTGCGGGCCTCTCATCTACAAGAAGCTGGTGAAGAAATGTAGGTGCAGGTGCCCCCAGCGCCCCCTCAAGGCCCTGTGTGGGGGGACGTGGAGGGTCCTACCTCTGTTTTGCCCCCTGCCCCCCTTCCCCCCTTGCACTGGCCTAAAGTAACAGACAAAGGAAGTCAGGAACGTTGCAGTTGCTGATTCACCCATGTGGGGGCCCAGCTGAGACCCACTCGAGGCCCAAGGGAGGGTGTGACAGGCCTAGAGGGTCGTCTGCACGGCCGCTGACCTCAGGAGACACATGCCCAGGGCCACCCCTACCAGTGTGCACAATGGTGACTCAGCCACTTCCTCTCTGAGCCTCAGTTTCCCCATCCACCAAATGGGTGACTGCCCCCCTAGTGAGGAATGTATACCGCAGGCCGTGGCCCTTGTCTTGCAGATGCAGGAGAAACTCACTCAAAGACAGGACTGCCGTTAGAGGGCTGCGAAGGGCAGGCCCCAGGCGGCAGGCCTGGCGGGTCCCTCCCGCCCTCCCAGGTCTTCTTTCTGGTTCTAAACCAGCCGTGGGCAAACTACGGCCCGCGGGCGGATCCGGCCCGTTTGAAATGAATAAAACTAAAAAAAAAAAGACCGTACCCTTTTATGTAATGATGTTTACTTTGAATTTATATTAGTTCACACAAACACTCCATCCATGCTTTTGTTCCGGCCCTCCGGCCCAGTTTAAGAACCCATTGTGGCCCTCAAGTCAAAAAGTTTGCCCACCCCTGGATAGTGGCTCTCAATCATAATTGCTTATCAGAATCACTTGGGATACTTTCAAAAAATTTGAAAATACTGAGGCTTGGAGGCCCAACCCAGGCTCAGTAAATTAGAATCTTTGCAGGTGAGATGCATCAGTATTCTTTAAAAACTTTCTGGTAATTTTGATGTACAAAGTAGAGAACCACCGGGATATGCCAGGTCCTGGGGGTCACTCACCCTTAGAGGTCTAGTTTAGGCAGCCTCTTTGTGAAGGGTTCCTGGTCTCCCTTATACCTTTAACTTATTCATTTAATATCTTTAATTACATTGTAATGCAATTATTTGTTTATAATATTTTTATTTCTCATTAAAATAAATTCCTTTTAACATAGTTTGGTCTGCCGCCCAGTCCGACAGAAGAAGCAGCGCCAGTGGATTGGCCCGACCGGGATGAACCAGAGCAGTAAGTGTCCGGGAGGCAGGCCTCCCTCAGCCCGGCCGGTGCCCCGGGCCCCGCAGGAACCTGGAGGCAGGGACGGGCCCACTGCTGAGCGCAGGTGCAGCCGGTGCTGACGGGGGTCTGACCCCCACGCCTCTCGTTAAGGAGTGGCTGTGCCCACGGGGACTGGCAGCGGGTACTCAGAAGGGGGGCTCCATGATCACATCGATGTGGGGATCGGGAGCTGGGCAAACCCAGACACAGTTCCTTTGTTTTTATATATAACACTGGTTCTTTTTTTAAAAAATATATAGTTTTTTATTGATTTCAGAGAGGAAGGGAGAGGGGGAGAGAGAGATAGAAACATCAATGATGAGAGAGAATCATGGACCGGCTGCCTCCTGCACACCCCACACGGGGGATGGAGCCTGAAACCCGGGCCTGTGCTCTGACCGGGACTCGAACCCTCACCTCCAGGTTCATCGGTCAACGCTCAGCCACTGAGCCACGCGGGCCGGGCCAGGCACAGTTCTTTCCTCCAGGACGAGCAGACCCTTCCCGGCATTCTGCTTTGTCCATCTCGAAGCGGGGGCACGGGAAGAGGGCTGTCAGGCTCGCGTCACCGTGCGGTGTCTCTGTCACGGGGCTTCCGAAGGCCAGTGGTCAGCGTCGGATGAGGCAGCCCACCTCCCACCGGCCTTGGTCTTCTCTCCTTGTAGCCACAGCCAGGCCCCCTCCTGGGGGCACCACAGCCCCCCTCCTCCCTCCCCCGCCACAGGGTCCCCCCTTTGTCAAGAGCCAGATCCTTCAGCAAGGCTCTGTGCTGCCAAGTCTTTTTTTATCAACAAAGGCCCTCAGCTCTGGGGGGCGGGGGGCGGGGTACATCCAATTCCCTGTTTAACCCGTGTCTGATGACTGACTAACAGACCACGGAAGGCCCAACCCGCCCATCAGCTTGCTGGCCAACCCGAAGTTGCTCTAAGTCTGAGCATGGCTAGTATGAGCCCGTCCAAGAAGAAAGGAGGAGAGGGGGTGCTAGAGGAGCCGTGGGTGCCCTTGCAGCCGCCCCCCCCAGGGGGAGGAGTAATGGCGCTGTCTCTGCATCATCTGCTCAGTGTCTTTCCATCGCGATCACGGGACGACTGTCCGCCGGTCGCAGGTTGAGAACCCCACAGCCGCGCACCTGGAGAATGAGTACAGCCAGCCCCCCAGGAACTCCCAGCTCTCCGCGTACCCAGGTGAGCCCCGGGGAGGGACGCGGGGGCCCAAAGGGAAGGCGTCTCCCCCCTTTGTCAAGAGCCAGATCCTTCAGCAAGGCTCTGTGCTGCCAAGTCTTTTTTTATCAACAAAGGCCCTCAGGCCCAGGCCGTGCCCACAGCCGCTCCTCTGCGGGCCTCAAGGCCGGATGGTCACAAGGCAGAACAGAGCTACTGTGGCCGCGGGAGCCCCGTACTGACAGCTCCCTGACCACAAAGCCCAGGGAGCCCGGAGTTCAGTGGGAACCCCGAGTTCAGCGTCATTAGTGAACGTTTGGATGATCTGATTAAAACAGATCCGGGGCTGCCAGCCACCAGCCCCAGGCCCCTCTGATCTTCCACACCCGCGGCGCT